CTGTGCATATATAAAAAGGCTGAGTATACAGTCACCCCAGTCTTAGAATTAAATATTTAACCTATATTTTCCCTTCATACTGACACCAAAATAAGCGAAAATAAAATAAATCAGTGATAAGCAAATTCCAGCACAGGGCGATAGATCCATTGTTAACAAGGCAGCGTTGAACGTATTAAGCAGGTGACAGCGGCTCGACAATCAGTCACGTCGCGTGGGGACACGTACCATCGACGACGGTCAGCGGGTGGTGTGTGTTGTTCGTGTGCTGCGTGAAGCACTGGATAGTGGGGCGGAAGGCGGCCGCGCGCTGCAGGCTGCCGCCGCCGCCAGCGTCCACGTCCAGCTGCGTGCAGACAATCTGCTCCAGCCGCTCCCACACCGCGACGTCCGCGCTGATCGGCTCGCCCGCCCCCACCGCCGCCTCGTCTCCGTCGGCTGCAAAGCGCAAACTCGCGACGGTTATCTCGCAATTGTATGTGGATGCCCAGCACTGCCGCTCCTCCTCCCCTTAGCAACGTCGTGCGTGGCGATCACGACCCCTCCTGGCTAATATTTGTATGTAAGGCAAGTGGGTTGGAGAAAGCTGGACAGCGAACTACTAAGCTGAAATATATGTCAACTGACGTGGTGACGCCCGTCCCACCAGTGGTGCAAGATCGGCCCAGTACGGGCTTGAATGTCTGCAGACTGACACCTAAAGTACTAGCTACCAAGCTATAAGTGAAAATCATGAAATACTAGGTTGCTTCATTTGCAATTGAGTCAACTGGAAGACATCCATGTTTAATTATAAACTTATGTGGTACAACATATAGGAATAGCATAGACACAAGATGAAATTGTCTTTAAGATTTATTACATTTATAAATTAAAAAATGACAATCATGACTGATTACTTTTATAACCTTCATGTGTCACAAATTTAAAATAGTGTTGATATTTAAGGACTATTCATGGTTAAGGACTGACTATTCATGCAATATTCGAGCAGACTTACTTTGGCCAGCTGTAGGATGCATTGCAGTTATCAGTTTGATAGTGGTGCCATCTATGACAGGAAGAGGAAGTTGTGCGAGCATAATGCATCCTTCTTGCTCCGTCTGTGCAAGCAGTTGCTGCAAGTCGAAAACCATTCCAACCATGTAATATATTCTCAGAGGTTATATGCTGTGCTAATGAATACTGGCTACTAACAACAACTACCCTAACAATGAGCCGGTGAAATAACATATGAAGGTCCAAACTAACACTACAGCTTTATTCCATGCTTTTCAAATAATTTTTGAAGTACTCAGCTCAGCGTGAATTATTCGACGTAAACTTTCAATAAATGCATGGCTAGAATTGCACTCTAAGTGTGAAACGATGGTCTCGACATTTCTACTTTCCTCTCATTACTTTCTTGCTTGCTCATTGATCTCGAAACTACTCACAAACCAAGAGCACAACCCCCACCCCCCTTTTTCGAGATCAGAAAATCTGGAATAAACTCTCCAGGCTGACCACGCGCCTAGACTGGCACCGGCAGACGGCCGTCATCATCCACGAACCTTGTACACGAAGAGGTACTCGCGTACGAAGGCGTTCTGTTGCGAGGCCGTCTGCTGGCTGTCGTTGGTGAGCAGGTGCTTGAAGGCGTTCGTAGCATTCTCCAGCTGCTTCAGGTTGAACGACTGCCGCCCGATCGTGAAGTTGATATGGTCCTCCGCCAGGCTCCAGTGGCGCCCTCTGTAGACCTGCAGTGCCTGGCAGTAGCTCCGTAGCGCGTGCTTTCGCTGTAACGATCGTGGTGCTGTTTATCCGCATTGTTTAGGAACAAGCGTGAAAACAACGCGCTTTTCACGATACCAAGTTGAATCTGTTTTTTGACAGGAAAGGGTGAAAAATGACATTTAACTCATTTTCTTTGATGGAGAGGTGAAATTATTTATTTTTATGCCATACGAAATTTACTCGTTATTTTGTAAGAATAGGGGGCAATGTTAATTATTAGGATACCACTGAATTCTTTTTAATTCATAGGACGAGGGAAAACAAAAAACTTATTATTAAGATACCACAGAATGTTTTCCCATTTCTCTAGCAGGAGTAAACCGACTTCTATTCAGATTAAACACAAACAACATACCTGACCAACTTTGCTGAACCTGTGACCGGCTAGTATCATGTGGAATGCATATTTTCTCACCATGGGCTTCGGCATGTGGATGAAGCAGTAGGCGGCCTGCTCTAGCAACAAGCCACTGCGCAGGTCCGAATCCTAGAGATGTAACCGCATACAACTCTAATCATTCATTATTCCTGCGAGTCCCCTCGCATCCCAGGCCATTAGAACCAAAGTTCCAAGTGCTAACTATAAGGCCACGGCTCCTACTAAACCACTTCAATGCAACGAGTAATTATTTAATAAATTAAAATGGAATAATTTAATAGTAAGTATTAACATACAGGGAGTCCCCAATGGATTACAAACACATTTGGTTCCAGAATTACATTAATAATTCAGTTTTTTGGAAGTCGAGTATACATTACAAGAAACTCAGTTGTGGTTACGTTGTTATGTGGGCGTGTTGTGGTTGTTAGGTGGCACTAATGAATGTTAACGTAAACAATAAAGCATTTATTGTTCATATTCAGATTCATAAGTTAGATGTTCATGAACTCTGGGGACGTTTGGTACTTATGTTTATTATCTAATAGTAGCTGTTGATGTCATCCATGAGTTGTGATCAATAGCTATCATGGGAAACAAGGGTAGTTACCTCACTTGTCATCTTTATCAAATTAATTGCAGCGTCGCTGTAGTTACTAGTGTATTTTAACACTTCTGTAGAAAACATCGTCGCTCTTGTTGCATACTCTGGTAATCTGCAGAAATAGCACATAATTAGAGGCCTAAGCTATGTAACATATTATCAACAGACGAAGTTAACCAGATTTAACACAGATTAAACCTTGATTATCCGAACAAGACGGGCAGGGAGTATTTTGTTCTGCTAACTGATTGTTCGGATAACTGATGGTCTAGTCACTCTAGTGGCTTATTAAATATTCACGGGACCTTGAGATTTTGTTCGGATAATCCGAAATTCGGATAATTGATGCTCGGATAACCGAGGTTTGATTGTATATATATTATCTATGCTATTTTTACATGGTTGCCACAATGCTACCAGCATTTTCTATGCTATGATGATCCTAGTTGACTAAACACAAAGACCCTTCCGATAATCAGTGGTAAAACCACATGTATTAGGAGGATCAGATATCTGTTGAGAGCTAACACAAAAACACATTTCCACAAGTTACATTTCAATATACCTACTTGCAGGTAGACAGGTATGTGGAAATTGCAGTCTCCATGTAGTGGTTTGGATACTGTCTCTGGGAATTTACACCCTGCATGAACACAGAGAGTGCTGCCATCTCCTGCGAACAAACACAATTAATTAGGCACAGACAACTAACAGATTTTCACTAATAAGACTACGAAACACTCAAACAGGTGCACAAGACTATGGAAAGAGAAACACATGCACCCACATACTCAACATGCATGCAAAAAAAAAATCCAACATCCTGATAGCAAACATACTTTTACAATAATTAAACAAGTGCCGCGGAGCGACAGCGCTCATCTAACGTCTACTGCGGTGACTCTGTGGTGGAGTGGTGGGATTCTAGTAAACCCTGTTAGTCCCAAATGTGTTCACATAACACCCGAAACAGTGGAAATGCACAGGGATGGTCATCAGAACCTTCTCCAAAGGAATGTTACGTTGGATCGTTATGAAAGTTTGACCACGACGGTATGGGCGTCGTACGTTTAAGTGTCTTCAGATTAAAGATGGAAGGCTCCATCGTACGTCATGATAGCAACGAACATTTGCAAGACAGAATAGTAAGCACTCATCCATTTACCTATTGCAAAGCTACAGGCTGCAAAAGAAGCTGGCACCTGGTAACCGAAAATTAACGCAGGCAAGAACTACACAGTACCACCACCACAATGCCTGCACTGGCAGTGGCATACGTTACATGTAACATACTGACAGTACAGAATGCCATAGAATATATACGATTTAAGAAGCATAAACCTTCTTCAAACCATAATAGCTTTTGAAATTTCACTGTGACATTGTAGCCTCATACATCCAGGCATGTATAGATTCACTAGCAAACCCGGCAGTTAAATTCTTTCTAACAGTAGGCCCTAAAAAATCCATGTTTAACCCTCCTCTTGAGGGTCAAAAGGTTATCCGACACTTCTCTTTCGCATGTCAGCAGACGGTACATTCATGGTCCTTCAATAAAACCATAAAAATGCTAGGTCACCGCTGAAACAAAAAAGTTTTTCAATCGCTCCGTCAGACCATGTCCTCAGAAAATATCTAAAATATCTGCCCTGTGCCCATTGACCTTTTGACCGTGACTCTCACAATTTCGGCATCATGATGGCTTTTCCTACCATGATGCTATACACCGACTATCACGAGCCTAGGTCGAGCCGTTTAGATTTGTGCCGCAATTCTGCATTTCCTCCTATACTTAAGTTAAGGAGTGAATGTTCCCCCTTATTTTACACCTCTTGACCTTTGACCTTTGACCCCCCAGCTTCGACATCCCAACTCATTTTGACAATCCCCCCGATGTGCCAAATATCGTGACCGTACGTCGAGCGGTTAAGATTTGTGCCTCAACATGTTGACGGACCAGACGGACGGACAATCATGCGATTCTACAAGCTGCATCTGACTATGTCAGATGAGCTAAAAATGATGCAGTGCAAACAAACCCTGAATCACAATTGCATTCTCGCGCTCAAACTCACCAGCGAGCCGGCAAAGTGTGGCCACGCGTGGTCCGTGCTAAAATCTCGTTTGGCTGTATGGTAGGACTGATATGCGAGCTCATACATTTGGAACATGAAGCAGAGGTCTGCCAACCGCCTGACCTGCAATTCCGGCGATTCCGATCCATAGCTACAAGTAAATGTAAAAGGTTAACACTGATAGGAACAATATCTAATTAATGAGCACAATGTTCACACTCATGGAAACAATATAAACGAATGGACAACTACATGATTTGTGCTGAGAGGAACAATATGAGTTGGTTAAGTACATAGTTTGCGGTAATAGGAACATTGTGTGATGAACGTGTACATAGTTTGTTCTGCCGGGAACAGTGCCTGATGACAAGTAACTATAAAACTTGCACTGATACAAGCAATGCCTGACTACAGAACAGCAAAAGGTTTGTGCTTATGTTACATAAAAGCTTCACGATAATATTCATCTATTATACAACTACTGAAGGAAACACTTACGACAGTAATGTGTTTTGAAGGTTCAAGCCTTGCGTGACTGGCTTGCTACCCCCAAACCACTTCTTGGTGGCACTGAAGAGCGAACGGTGAATTCCTTTTCGGGACATCAACTATAAAATGAGCGAGAACGACTGATAAAACGAACAAGCAATGCCTACAGATAACGAAAGATGAACACAAAGGATGTTATAAAAAATAAAAAATAAAATATTAAGAAATATTAATAATAAATAATAATAAATATATTAAAATGTTAATTAACAAATTAAATATAAGGATGAGCATGCTAACATTGCAGCACACTCGATGATATATGATTCATGATCCTGAGATCTCACAATGGTGAGTGTGGGACAAAAAATATATAACTTCTCTTAAAATATAGTTTACTTTTGCTTCAAATGCCTTTTCATTCACTACTGAGCAGAAGTGAAGTAACATCTGCATTAAAACTGTCACTATTGCACGTATAGTTGACACCGAATCGTACCTGGTCATTAAGTGTTCGTATCTGTCTCTCCACATAAGGCAGCAGACCACGAACGCAAAACTCGTGCACGAAGATCCGTAGTCTATCGTGGTCACTCAAGGTCAGACAGATGCCGTGTGGCATGTGTTTCCTCTTCTCTATGCTCGTGTGTAGCGTGGCTGTGACAGTGAATCAACATATGCTTTTCTAGATGCAAAAAACTCTGCTTTCATATACATGGTTTTTTATTAAGGAAGAACTACTTCTTTTCTTTCAGAAGAGAAACAGCCTAAACCGCCTTTGCCCGTAGCAATTTTGTTTTCCAAGTAAAGTTATTAAAAAGCTACATGACATCTATTTATAGTCAAAGGTTCACAAACTTGCTCACATTAGAGGGTACCTTTGGAACAATTACAGGTGGTACCAGTAAAATAGTGAGTAAATAGATCATAAAAATGGTTTCCATTTTCAACTTTCCTATTGGAAAACTATGTATTTACTTAAGGATACTCTCAAGGTTTTAGGAAAATTTTTACCGATTTTTCATTTTCAACTTTATTTGATGGCTAACACTATGTGCCACCTTCGTACATGCTCATTTCTCCATATAACGGTACATGTGAACTGTCAGAGCGTTTTGCTTGCCCTCGTACATGTGTAGTGAGCCGCGGCTGACGTCAGAAAAACGCTGATTTCTCCGTTCCAATTTCTGATTTAGTAGTCGATGTATAAATGGATATTTCTCTGTGATTACAACTCGGAATAATTTAATTTTACACTCGTTTTAATGGTAACATATTGCTGTAAAAAAGAGCGTCAGGGATTGTTATTAAGTGCCGTATTTTATGAGTTATGTCTCTTTATTCGCAAAGATTATAAATTCAAACGTGCGACTTGAATTTTAGGCATTTTTTTACAATTTTTCTCGGTAAATATGAAACTTAAAGAAGAATCCTGATGCACTATTTTGGTACATATTGTGCTTAACATGTGGCGAAAATTTTGTATCCTCACTCTTTCTGGTAATTGAGAAATATCCAAAATACCATTTTTACATAAAAATTCAAAATTTTTGTGGTAACATAATTTGGTGCTGGAAATTTCATGAAATTTTTGGCCTTGAGCATAAAGATATATCTCCTCTATAAATAAAACAAGTGATTGATTCGATTCACTCGTCAATAAACGTTTAATCTTCATTAGAGCAATACCCGTGCAAAAGGTTGAGAGTATCCTTAAGATTTTCTAGCAGCTAATCTGCTTGTTCTAGAAGAGTTTAAATATGTTGAGTTTGACCCCCTGATACACATATTAATGATAATAATTAATTAATGGCTACTAAACCAAGTCTGTACATTCAACGATGAATTAAGGAATAGGTTTAGATAAATGCATTCTAGTCTAAAAAAACACGATGCAGTGTATACTCATTACCAAGAGGGTCTTCAAACAGTGGGTCATTATTGACATGGTTCTGCAATGGTGCATGCTTTTTGTGAAGGTCACCACCAGGTGGCTCCTCATTGTCAGGCAATAATGGATGGTCTACTATCTCCTCCACTGGGTTGGTGGATGACAATGAGGATTCTGAGATAATATGCACAATAGTATCTAAGAGATGATTTATCAACAATATAATATATGCCTTGACCTGATTCCCATCATCATATACTAAAAATCCTGCCATGACACTAATAGACCCCACCCCGTACAGACTGCAAAATTTTATATGGTATTAAACTAGCGCGCGCCAGGCCCGGGCCTGACGCCCGCCAAATTGTAGCGTATTTGATCCTACATTAAATGAGTCATCAGTTCTCTGTTTAGCTCGTCACGTCACCCCGCAGACAGCGAGGTACAGCGAGCGTAGAATTACGTGACCTAAATAAGGCTATGCGCATGCGTATTGTGATTTAGCACCGGGTCTGGCCTGCTTGTTGCGTACAGACAGACACACAAGCGGGCTATCTTATCCCGGGCTAAGTTATCCCAGGCCTGGCCCTCCATCATTTGCGGGGCCAAATTGGAGCGGGCCAGCGCGTATTTGGAGCGGGATAGCGTGTACACACTGCAAAATTTGGCGCGGGCCTTGCGCGTGCTAGTTTAATTCCATATAAAATTCATAGTCTGAATGGGGTATACAGGTGTTACCTGCCACTGATTTCTATGTCCCCATTACAGAATAAATGTCTGCATTTTTATTTTTTAACTTGGTGCTCATTTTTAAACTTCATTTAGGGGATCTAAGGTTTCGATTTCAAGATCTGTTATTATTTAAATAAATTTTTTGTGATAACTTTTTTTTAAATAATTTAAATAAATATGGTTAGCCTGAACTATTATGCTATTTCTTTTCCTTTAATAGCTTGTGTAATAAAACAAAAGTAACAATAAATACTAATTAATAACACATGCTATCACCAATTAGTGGCGCTAGTAATTCTTCTAGTAATCTTGAGTTTTCTGGGGGGCTATTTGACGTCGACTGGAATTTCTGGGATTTTTTTTCTTTCAGAGCGATAACGCAGCGCTGCACTCACCCGATCCTTCTGTCGCTTCGGACGCATTCTCGACGAAGCTGCTCTCGCTAATGAGCACGCCGTCTGATTGGCTGGGAGACAAACTCGCCTCCATGACGGAGTTGGGAAACGTTGCCTGACCGTCGGTCGTGAGCTCCAGCGGCAAGCACTGAGCGGGAGGCTCCGGAAGTGACGGTGCCTCGTCGTCCGGGGAGGAATCCTGCAGCGCAATGTGACATTGGCATGTGACGGAAAATCACCAGCTGCCCCGCACGCATTAATCAACGTTCGGACCTAACGATGGATACATTCAGCAGGTTTGCTTACAGCTGTATCCTTGCTCAGATTACTGCTACTTCATAATTTAATGTTTTGGTGCTATGAAATAACTCTGATTATCGTAGTTTTTTTGCACTCTTGTTTCGTTATGGTGAAAGAACTCTTATATCATTGTTTCGATTATCATTGTTTCACACTATCACTGTTGGGCTACTGGACTTCGCATGACTCGCATTTCACCATTCTATCGTACTAAATGTTTTTGGATGTTTTTTTCCTGTGCATTTTACATGCTTATGTCATTAATGTTTGCAATTTAGCGGTAGCCATCTTGCATTTCTCTCAGTTAACACCAGTAGCGTATCAGTTAAGAACAACATTTGAATAGGAAAGGAATGTAACATGTGTGAAAAGATGTGTCTTTCCGTCGGAATTCGTTACTGTGCGGGATTTGGGGGTGGGTGGAGTGGGGGGGTTACATACCACAATGTTAAACTTCCTGCCTAGAAACTGGCTCCAGGGGTCAGGCATTATGTCTGAGCTATACTGGGCTGTTCTCTGGTCACAAGAGTTGATCTGTAGCAAGTGGCACGCGTGCGCACCGTACGTCGACTTCATGCTCTGGTACACTGCCTCAGCCCTGTGTGAACACCACAGACGCAGACACAAAATAAATGTTATTGAATTATATTACCGTTAGAAAAACAACAACACGTATTACATGAATGTGTCTTGGTACGTTTTCACGTGTTCAATAAATCCAGGCTGATGGTAACATAGGTAAAGATCCGACTAAACCTCAATCAGCATGAATATTTTGAAAGCACGATTTCTAAACGTTACTTAGTAGAGAAGCTCTACTACTTTTTACACAATACTTTAATAGTGGAATTTAATAAGCACCATGTCCCATCACATTATATTCCAAAGCCTTGACCTTTTCACCTGAAAACCTCATCACAATGAAAGTATTGAATAAGGTTATGACAGCGCACGTACTTCGACTCCTCTCCATCTGTGACATCGTGTAGAAGAACATAATACTTGAATATATTTGGGGAGAACCACTTGGGCAGTTTCTTCGGGGTCTGGTGCTGCTGTTGGTGTTGCTGCTGATTTAACTTATGAAATATGTCCAATGGCTCTGCATGGTTGGTGGACACGACAAAAATACCTGACAGCTCATTAAGGTAAAAATGCATAAAAACTACAACTTTAGATCCAGTTGCCAACAAATTTCATTGATCAATGTCATAAACCTTTTTATCGATATCTCACTCACATAGCAGCACATATTCAGTGTAATACTCGAATAGCATTCCTGACCACTAGACCGCATGGTTCTACTACAGACTACTACATTAATGAGTAGTTGATTGCATTATCAGAACGAGATCCGTCGCTTAAAATCTCTTGATGCTGTAAACGTGTATGATGCAAATTTCATTTCATGGGAAACTTAAATGCAATTTCACAGAAAGGATACATGCAACATAATGCCTCAAGAACTCATGCTCAGCAGGTGGTAGAACCTGTAGAAAATCTTCCCTGTACTGTTCATACCACGGCGTTGAAGCTGCAATAAATATGTATACAAACAAGATATATTGAAAATAATAAATGTGGACAGGTGATCATAACAAGCTTGATATTTTAACTTATCACTCAGTGCGTATACATCGATTTTTTAGGTATTTTAACAAATGAAAAGTGTGGCTGTATTATTACCAACTGGTATTGCTGTAACTTCCCACGAGATACCAGTATACATCATTCTACAAGAATATTGAATTATATATCATAGAGGTGTACTGTGGAAAACTTTGCTTGCAGATTCTACATCATATGAATCAATACATGAGGTGAAACGGCTAGACTTTCCTCAGCATATTTTGGGATTACTCACTAGCAATGTGAAGATTGTATTCGCCTGTCATCACAGCACTTGTGTCACCAGGTGTAGGTTGACAACTGCTAACTACTTCACTCAGCATCTTTTTAGCAAGTAGTGGCTGTGGCGGCAATGAGTCAAACTCCTTCATAATCACTTTCAGGTTGTGTATTGCATGCGATAAGTTGCTGGGATCTCGAATGTGAACTGGAAACATCACCAAATGGATTCATTTACTTAGTAATACTAATAGTAGTAATACTAATAGTAATAGTATGGATTTATGCAGTGATAAGTCTTTAATATTAATACATGAAAAATTAATCCATAAAACGTGATATAAATGCCAGCTGCTATAACTTCATGATGCATGAATAACACTAGCTACCTGGCAGTACCACTAATATATCAATCAGCGGCGATCACACTGACAGGGACTCAAGTTGGCTTATTCAGTTATATTGTCAGTCACAGCCACTGAGTGAGTGAGTCAGTATTATTAAAGGAATAATAGGGCCATTGATTATGCAATGTTGACGAATGCTAGAGTAACTGGCACCTTGTGTAGTTAATAAGTACATTACCTTATAGCCAAACACGTATTAGTTTGTCCAATATCACTGCTGGTTACTAAGAAATGTCTAATTGAAAATCCGCAGTCCAAGAAATCAGTTGACTAAGTTGTTTACAGTTTCCATGCAGTTTCAAACCGCTGGGTGTGATACAGATTTATAGTGCACCGGACATTTTCGCACGCATGCTCGGCCGTACGCAATGCTATCATCAGTGATTTCGTAAACACGGACGCTCGTGATAAGGAACTTTGTTTAGTCCGTGGCCGTGGTTACACCGCTGACACCTCCATTTCATCTGGCGTCCCGGTCCAAAACATATGGGCCGCACAAATGTTTACGTCATCGGCAACTTATCGCTTGACTCCTGGATGACATTTACGGCACGTAAATGAATATCAACAACCGATTTCAAGTCTTGCTTGTAATGTAACCAGCAGTGATATTGGACAAACTAATACGCATTAGGCTATAATGTTACGTACTTATTAACTACACAAGGTGCCAGTTACTCTAGCATTCGTCAACATTGCATAATCTGTCAATGGACCTATTAAGTATTATTCCTTTAACTCAACTTTAAGTGACGATTATAACAAATTATTAGTGCTAATAGCAATGCTTATCTTCACGGGAATTGTTAATAGATTTCACTGAACAACAGCGGGGGATACCTTCTGATGTCAATCGACAGAACGGCTGAACAAGCTCAATAAAGCAAAGGTTATTCTTCTGACACACTGACTCAGCATCGTTGCTGCAAAGCACTGCGACCATTGGACTGTACGTGCTCTGAATAAACTCATGAACACTTTGCTTGCAATCTGCCATTTTAACGGATGTTCCTATAATGACTTTAACACACTAGTAGACAAACTCCATCCACCAGCTATTCCAAATCAGCGAGGAATAGCCGTACTGCTAATAATGCCAAAACTCCCACCAAAAACGCCATATTGTGTTGAAGTTTGGTGGCAATGTGCACAAGGTCGCTTCCTGTTAGAACTTTTCAGCTGTCACTCAACTCACTTTGATGCATAGCTTATAATCAGTAAGTTTAGCAATAAATTTAGAACATATATTATGATTCGTATATATTATTTTTGCATTATTTATTGCATTGGTTGGCTTCAGCAATTCAAAAATACTCATGCTAAGCGTAACTAACTCTGCCAAAAGATGGCGCCACAAACACAAAACTTAGAACAGATGATGTCATATCCTGTTAATCGGAAATCCCATAACAAAACCAAATTTCAATCTATTTTTGTTGTTATATACTCTTATATTGAAATCTGCAGTTGCGAAAGTAAATGGGTGCAATGCCAAGTATAGAGGGTAAGTGTCACTGCGACCACTGTCTCAAGAACTCAGTAGTATTAGTAGAGAGGCCCTCACTTGGTCACTGATTGTATCTTGTAGTTGTAAGTTGTATAGATCTTCAATCTTGTATCTTCAATCTTGGACTTGGGGTCCCTCTCTTGTATTTCACGACACAAGGCACTGATTCTCTCTTTGGAATGTGCGGGGAATTTATTTGTATTCTTCTTATTCTTTCTTATATTCTTATTCCTTCTTATTTCTTATTCTTATAGTTATATTCTTATTCCTTCTTCTTATTTCTTATTCTTATTCCTTCTTCTTATTTCTTATTCTTATTTCTTCTTCTTATTTCTTATTCCTTCTTCTTTATTTCGTATTCTTATTCCTTCTTCTTATTAGCTCATCTGACATATGATGTATATCTGTATTATGATGTTTTTATTAGCCTAGGAATTTGTTTTATCGTAGTTTGTAGCATATTTGCCTGTATGATCCACGATTATCTGTGCAATAAACTTTATTTGAATTTGAATTTGAATTTTGACATAGTCAGATGCAGCTTGTAGAATCGGTCCGTCAACAGTTGGGCACAAATCTTAACCGCTTGACGTACGGTCACGATATTCGGGACGTCGGGGGGGGGGGGGGATCGTCAAAACGAGTTGGGCTGTCGAAGCTGGTGGTCAAAGGTCAAAGGTCAAGAGGTGTAAAAGAAGGGGGAACATTCTCTCCTTAACTTAAGGTATAGGGCTGAAATGCAGAATTGCGGCACAAATCTAAACGGCTCGACCTAAGCTCGTGATCGTCGGTGTATAGCATCATGGTA